TTTGCCATCTTTCTGGGACTTTCTTCCTGTCAGTTTGCATTGCTTCTATCCTTTCTTTCTCCTCCTCCGCCGGGTTTGGTTTTGAGCTTTGGATTCAAAAAAACCCCAAAGTCAAAACAAAATGGTCAGAACTGCCGAGTCTTGTTTTGGAACCTGTTTTAGTGCTGTGTTCACAGGAAGAGAGGTCCCTGACCAAAATTGGGCCTCACTTCACCCAAAAGCTTGGCAAACTTCAGGAACCTTTGAGTGAACTTGAGCCAAGTTATAGATATATAACAAAACTTCAGCATGTTCTAGAGGAGTTTAGAAGATAATTTAATAAAACAATTTTTTAAAACCCCCAATAACTGCACCTCAACCTACTGCTGTTGAGTCTGCCTGGCTCATAGCTGCTCTAGAGGACAGAGTAGAGCTAACCCATAGAGTTTCCTAGATTGTAATTCTTTACTGAAGCCAAATGCCACATTTTTTTTCCTGTGAAGTGGGTTGCTGGATACAAATTGCCAACTCTGCGCTCAACCGCTGCACCACCAGGGCTCCTAAGTAAACTAATATTACCCTATAAAAGGTAAGGTGGGTACTATGAATCTGCCAGCTATTTTTTAATAAGAAGCAACATAATAGACCCATTTTTAATCGGCAGTAAAGAAAATCTCTTGCTGTTTCCAAGTTGCAGGTCCATTTGGAAACCACACGTGTAAAATGTATTTAAATCTATTTGACATTTTCTTTAGAGATTTGTAGTTCAGTAGAGTTGTGCTCAAGAGTGCACATCACATTTCATCTCAGAACGTTTTATGGCTATGATATAAGCCTCCTACCATAGTGTGCTTCTAAAATGGAAATGCTGACACATGTGACAATAAATGCCAATTCAAGGGTCTTAATTGTATGTTCACACAGGGATTAAGCATGCTATCATAGTATTTCCTTCAGTTTCCAGTGCTCATTTTGCCAAAATCTGCTTTCACATTGGGCAACTGTAAAGAAGATCAGCCTGCTGATGGCAAAGGCTCCTGATTATTTTTACTCTCCTTGGAAAGTCTAGTGATGTCTTTCCAATATGATTTCATTTAGACCTCTTGTTGGTTTGCTTGTTTGAATACTAATAGTAACACGATAGCTTTGGGGAACCAAAAGGCGGTTCTCAGTCAGTAAAGAGTCTATAAATAAATCGCCTCCCAGCACTGTCTAAAATGATATTTAGATTTTACACGTCCAGATAACTTTAAGATTTCAAGAACCAATTATTATACTTTTCCAGAAGTAACCGATACTATTGAGTTTTAAAACAATTGCTGGTGAAAATTACTAAAAGGCAATATGTAGTGATATTTCTATCAACGTTGATTTTCAAGATAAAAAGCAAAACAAATTTAACAGAGTCTATGTTACCTATTGAAAAATTTACATTGAAAATTCCCATGGATTTATGAGTCCAAGACATATGTGAGGAAATCCAATAACCACATTGCTTAGAAAAGTTGTGTCAAAATTTGGAAGGACACTGGACTTGAGTTCTGAATTCAATTATTTGGTCTTATTGATGGACATGAGGTGCTCTTAGGAATTAGTTGATTCATTTCTTCTGTGCCTCTGATTGTTCTGCTTCAGTTTTCAAATTAGTAATTCCCTTTAGAGACTTCCCATTTAGGGACATCTTCTCAACATGTAAAAGTTTATAAAACCTCCAAACCAAATCCATGGTCATTGAATCGATTTCAACTCCTAGTGACTTTATAAGGCAGCGTTGGATTGGTCATTTGGAGTTTCCCAGACTCTAAATCTTTGTAGGAGTTGGTGGACTCATCTTTCTTAAACATTTAGAAAAACCAATTCATTTATAAGCTGTAACAGTGTAAGACACAGTGGACATAATTCTTCTAGTGATTCCTCAGAAAGTAGCTTTTCATTTAGAGGTTTTTTGCAAATCACTTTCTATGAGGAAGGAACATTCACTTTAGGAATAGTGTGTGCTTACTAAGAACATATGAAACAGAGTTGGTAAGACTATGGAGACAATTAAGTGTATAGGGTGGCTGTATTTACTCTTCAGAACCTAATGGTTTTTAGGGTTGGTTGTCTACACAGTTGGGTCTCTTGCTTTTCAAGTTGTTTGTTTCAACAAAGTTTTAAGAATTCATAGATCTGAATCAATTTTGTTTTAACTTATTGAGCACTTGGATCTTTGAAAAAATGCTTAATTTCCAGGAGGACTTATAATGGGGAAAGGAAGGGGACTTTTGATTTTTAACTGGTCCATCTCAGCTGTCACATGCCATTACATTTTAAACTGACAGCACAGTAATGGAGTAGATAAAGACGAAGTGTTGCTAGAACTACTAAGCACTCCCAAAGAAATTGGGAAGCCAAATACTATTGCATGATGAACTGAGAAATAATTAGTTTTTCATCAACATACTAAAGCAAGTAATTTTTAATTATGTCTTTTAAAATATATATGTATTCTTCTAAGTAAGCAAAGCATTGTTTAAGAAAGCACGATGGGGTGGGGGAGAAAGAAAGAGAGACAGACAGACAGAGATTTTGCATTATAAAATCGAGCCAGAAATCTTCGTTCAACTGTCAGTTTACTTTGATAAAATTACAGAAAAGAAAAACATGCACTCCTTGATTTTGCCATTATTTGGGGGGAGGGGGTAACAGGTTATACTTTTCTCTTACCTATTTATCCAGAGGTTCTTATGAGTGAACTGGAAATATCCTGGTGAAAATACATCATCAAATAAAGAAGGCATTTTTCTCAGGAAAGGGTGCCATTTCAAAATCGATGCTGCTGCCGAGAAGCGGAGGAGGAAACCATGGAGGTGTCCATGTTTAGCGTGTATACGGGCACTGGGGACAGGGGGATTTCTGCAACGCCGTGAGAATGGGCTGGACTCTCCTGGAAGGTAGTCTGATATTTATCCAGAAATTTCACTTTCAGGTTTTTAATATCAGAAGATCATTATAGATGAAAAAGTATTTTGGGGAATTCTCTTTGCTGATCTCTATGTCTGTCCCTATGTCCATCACAGCTCTCAGTCTTATAGGGGACTGGGGCTAATGAAGTAGTGTGAGCCGTAGAGAAGACAGGAGACTAAAGGTCTCATATGTAGAGATTTAAGCTAGGGGAAGAATGCCCAGTTTGGAGGATGAACTTTTAAAAGATCAGTATCCCAAAGTTCTCCCCAACTTAAAATACCTTGGATTTTTAACTGCATAGAAAAAAGACTAGAAGGAAACTGATGACAATGCAAAAAGGATGGTAATTTGTGGAGATTTTGATTTTATTTATTTTTTGTCTCCCAAGGTGTTTTTTTTGACAATGAGAATATATGATTCGGAGAAAGTGAATGTCATTTCTTAAGGCTTGTCGGGGGCCTGTTTGTTCTAGCGCGCCACCATGGGGTCGCGGGTGCACTGTGCCAGGCAGGTAGGCGCTCAGGAGGCCTCTCTGGGCAGGGAACCTTGCTCCCCTGTGCCCTTCCGGAAGCAGATCCGGAGACCTCTCTTTGAGAGCGCCTGTGGAGCAGGAGCCACCCCCCTTCCTGTTAGTAGCGAGCCCTCAGCCTGTTTGAGCCGCGACTCGGGAATGTACTCCCTACTCTGGCCTTCTCTCTATCCCTTTCTCTCAAGGATCCCAGGCCAGGAGCTGGCTGTTCCCGCACCAGGGAAGACTGAAGAATGGCCGCAGGCCCAAACTGGAGCCATAGACCATCAACCTCACCTCTCCCATGGCGTTTTGCCAAGACAAGAATGCATCTCCTCTCTCGCCTCTCTGCCCCCTGCCCCACCACTGGTCCCGTCTTGCTTACCTGCAGCCCAGCTCCAGGTCTCCAGGTGCGCGCGCCCGGGGCGTGGCTCCGGGACGCGCTGGAGGCTGCAGGGGGAAGCGCCCGGGGCGCACGGAGGGCTCCCTCCCTCCGACCCCCGCTGGGCGACGTGGCGCTCTCTGCCAGGGCTCTGGGAGCTCCCGGCCGAAGGGAAGGGCTTCTGGTTGCTGGTTGGGCGCGTCGGGGCCCGGCGGCAATGTGCACCTGGACAAAGGCACTCCGGAAGCCGGGCGCGGCCTTGCTACTGGCCGCGATCTTTCCGGGGGACTCCGGGTCTAAGTCCCCGCGCTTCCCATTTCCCAAACTCAGGACACCAGATCCCCCACCTTCAGAAAGACAGAGAGAGGAGAAGAGGTGAGAACGCGGTGCGTGGGAGTCACTTCCGACCCATCAGACCCATCACGAGTCTCAAGGGCAGAGGAGAGCTGTCCTTTTGGGTTCCCCAGACTTCAAATCGGGAAGGGAGCGCACAGCCTCCGCTTTCTCTCGCGTCGCAGCTGGTAGCTTCGAACAGCTGACCTTGTGGGTAGCAGCCAAAGCGTCACCAGCCTTTCCACAAGGGGTACTTAGAATCAGAAAGGAGATGAGAATCGAGAGTGGGGCCCTGGGCTTCCCTTCCAAGCCACTGGCTGGCCTGCGGCGTTCAAGACCAAGAGCGAAGATCCGGAGCCCTTGACCCAGAGCGCCTCCGGGCTGCCAGACCTTACCGGGTGGGGGGTGGGGGGGCGCAGCACAGACTGAAGACTTTTTGTTGAAGAAAAGAAGTACAATGTTTTACTTTATTACTACTGTTTTAAAAATCAGGAGGAATCATTGAACACTCTAGAAGCCTAACGACGCTGTTATCAGAAGGGGATTTCTCTCCCCAACCCCCGGCTCCGGAAGCTGCGGTCAGGGGCGGGCTTTGAAGGTCGGCCTGTTAGCTCAGGTTCAAACGCGCTGAGGCCAGCCCTGCCCTGGCCACCAACCAGTGCGACCGGGTCTAACTCCCCGGCGGCCTCGGTTCCCGTGGCTGTCGGGATCCTACAGTCCCGATCCCCAACTCCAGCCGCGCAGACCGCTCCTGCCCTTTGGGCTGCATCCCCTGTGGGGCCCCGCAAGACCCCAGCCGGCTCCCGGGTGAGCCAGAGCGGGGGACTCCCCGCCGCCCCTCGACCCCCAGCATCAGTGGGCTTCTTTCTTTTCGCAGCTCTGCAACAGCTCGGTCATGAACGAGATGTAGACAATGGCCAGGCGCAGGGTCTCGATTCGGGACAGCCTCTTCTCATAAGCAAACGTGGGCACCTTTCTTCGCAGCTGGTCAAAGGCCTCATTGAGGTTGAACATCCGTTTCCGCTCACGGATGTTGGCAGCCTGGCGCTGGGCATAGGTGATCACTCTTTTCCTCTTGGGACGGCCCAGCAGCGAGGCACCCCTCTCGCACTCTTCTTCCTCCTCCTCCTCCTCTTCCTCCTCCTCTTCGTCCCCCTCTTCTACTTCGCCCTCCTCATCCTCTGGGCCCCCCTCCTCCAAGTGTACCAGCCTCCTGGGCCTTCCATCTCGGAGCGCAAGCTTTCGCTCCCCAAAGGGGATTCCAGTCCCAAAGTCACAGAGGAGAGGCCCCCCGGGGGAGGCCAGGGACAGGTCTGCGACAAAGTCCAGCACTGCGGCATCCACGCAGCTCTCGGGATAGGCCGCCATCGCGTCGGCTCGGCCTGGTGTCTCATCGATTGCTCACTGGGTTGGGGGGGCCGGGGACGAGGCTGGTGATGGGCTCCTCACAGGGCTTGCATCTGCCGCGGTACCATCACGGAAGGGCCAAGGGCATCGATACTTGTCATCGAGTGGATAAGAGGATTGGTCGCACCGGTAGGGAAAAGCTCCGTCCCTTCTCTTGAAGCTGATGAGAAAAGACAAGCTTCAGCCCAAAGCCGGGGCAGGGGCAGGGGGGCGTGGATGGGGGGTCGGGGGTACGCGTGGAAGACTCACAGGGACAGGCCTTCGAATTTTAGATCCTTTTAACTGCGCTACAAAGGACAGTTCCTTCTTGGCAACAACCCCCTGCTCTTACCTGCTGGGCTCTTTGTGTCTGCCCTCACCCCTGCAGCCAGCTAAGGTTCTCCAGGCTCCTTATCTCACGTCGCTCTTTAGACTTGGATTTTCAAAGCGAGGATGTTTTCCACTGCGCTGGCTTCTTCTGGGCTTTGTGGGGTAGAAGTCCTGAATCTTGCCACCCGAGGCTGCCAAGGGATGTGAAACAAGTGCATGTGCTTTTTAATGATGTCCCGAAGAGGGGCCCTGGCTGCCGGGAGTCGCGGGGACTGTTTGCCCCGTATCCCAGTGCTTCGGCTGCTGAAAGGCAAGACCTTCCATTAGCTTAAGTAAGCATGGCAGGGGGGCTGAGAGCGCATTCCCCAGAGTCTCTGTTGGAACCGCTTTCTCCTGGCCCAGCAACTCAAACAACTCTCCCGCGGGGCTACAAACCCTGACTTTTAAGTCTGTTTTGTAGCAATCAGTCTAACAATTGAGATACTTGACTTCCCTTCCCTCTTATCATGCAGAGGTTTTTGCTATGGGGGTAAACGTTAGGATGGAACTGTAGTGCCAGGGTATTTTCCCTGCGCCTGCCTTGCTGCTGCATCCTACCAGCGTTCGGGAGACAAAGCAAATCTTTCCCTGGAGCAAAATGACTGCATTCTTATTAGGGTGCAATTGACCCTTTGATAAACAAACAGCCCCATTCGCTCATCCTTGGCTGATGAGGCTTTGGGCTTCAAAATCGCTGATTATTTGTGAACAAAGAAAACCCTAACACTTCCCATCTGGCTCATTTTTCGCTTTAGGTTGTACCTTTGAACCGTAGGATTTAAACTATATATTGAGTTCTATTAGTAAATATTTTAAAGCAATCATTGCATGATATTTTTAGATAAAATATATTTTTCAAAATTGGTGCAATGAAAATGAAATTGTGCTGGTCTATTATCTTTAATATCTTACCAAAGAAGGTTGTTTCCCCTTCCTCTTTGCCAATAACTATTTCCTTAGCTATCCAGCATAGGGTTTTTAACAAGACATTGAGGGGCAGATCAAAGTCCTCCACATTAATTTTTAAAGTAGATTTGAAGAAACAGCCTAACGAAGATTAATAAAGAGACGTGTTGGTTCAAGAAAGAACCACAAAAGGACATTGTTATTAAGCAGGGAATTTGTGGCGGTGACCTCGCTTAGTACATTGGACAGCTCCCAGAAACTACCACTTTCTTTATTAGCAGGTCTCCAACCTCCCAACCTAACTGCAATCGGGTCCATTCCAACCCAGGGAACATAAGCACAATGCCTTTCCTTTCTACTTTCCCAGCATATAATCAAAGGAGTGGAAACTCCAAGTTAAAAAAAAAATATTTGTGTTACGTTTCTCCTTTGGCCTTTCATTGATTTTCTTTTCTCATGTTTATTCTTCAAGCTCCCATTTGTGTCGTGACAACATAGGCACGGAATTGGAATTTTTGTTTCTTTAAATTCTTTTTTTTTAATTCTTCAAAGAATTGGAGAAATGTTGAGAAAGAATTTGTTGGTTATGATGGTCTATTTCACTTTTACTAAATTTCTGGCAACCATAGGACTGAAAAATAAAGACTAACTGTAATTTCATCAGAGGATAAGAAACCATTATGTGGAGAGAATCGTTTTTCCTTTGACAAGAAATAATGTGTTTTTAAACTCCAGTTCACTGTACAGTGTTATTAAATATCGGGGGAATTTTCTAGTTGATTTTTAATTTTGTGAATTTTTTTTCAGAGATACCTTTTTCCTTTATCTTTTAAGAACTTACTTGCATGTAAATGGATTAAATGCCTCATTCAAGTAAGAATCTAGTTTCACAAAAAAATCACACTGGGACATGCACTAGAAAGAAAGATGGTAGAGATTCAAGCTTAGAATTCAATGAAATAGGAGCTACAAGTTATAATGAGACTCAAGAGGAAAACATCCCCAAAGAAACTTTAGCCAAATCAATGGAACCAGCACATAGATCATGAAAAAGGAAAGGTCCAGTGCACGAGAAGACGCCAGCCCAACCTTTGTGTCTCATTCCAGTTGCTATTGCTCCCCTGGGTACCACTGTATCTTCGCTTCAGACTAGCCCGCCTGATTCATCTAGCTTGTTTCCTGTTGAATAAAAGAAATTAACTGCACACTTGCTTGTCTGCCACTCAGTGGTTTTATTTTTTGTAAGAATTCTGCATATCATTCTCATCGATAAAGAGTGTTGTGAATATACCACTATTAATTTATTCCTACTGCTATTAACCAATATTTTGGTAGTTTCCCATTTCAGCTACTACAAATAACAGTGCCATAGATATTATTGTACCTATCTGTTGGTAAACATATTTACGCATTTTGGTTCAGTCTATACTTAGATGTGAAATAAGTTTTGCATATGTTTAACTTTGATAGGGTGATAGTTACATAATCTCCTGTCAACCTGTGAAGGGTTGGAGGTTAGGCTGTCAATCAGCTTGATGACCTCATTTGGAGGCAAGATGGCAATAAATAGCTCACTGGAGGCCAGATATACACTCTCTTTTTTAGACATTCCCGTTGAAAAGTCAGATGGAGCTACACTGATGAGCCAGAGTCCTGGAGCTGGAAGAGCCACGTGGAGACCCATGCCAGTGCCGAGAGGCTTCCACCGCCACTGGAGCCACAAGACTTTTCACCCACTGGCTGTGATCTTCCTGTATTCAGCATCACTGCATGTGCTGTGTGAGATTGAAGAGGAATTTATAGACTCGTGTTGGACATATGGGCTAATATTGGACTTATGAACTTGATCCAGACTGGGCTGGGATGCTTTCTCAATGTACAGTTGCTTTTTAATATAAAGCTTTTTCTTATACACATATGAGTCTCCCTGGATTTGGATTTGTTTCTCTAAGTATACCTGGACTAACACAGGTAGTTACTACCAAATTATTTTCCAGAATGATTATAATAATGTGCATTATTATGTAATAATAACAGTTAAAGAATTAAAGTTCTAACTTCTTTAATGCACCCTCAACACTTGGTATTTTCTATTTTATTTTCTCATTCTGATGATACCTATGGATATCAGATCATGCTTTAATTTGTATTTACCTTATTAAAAAAAAAGAATTGGACACTCCTGCATATTGGTGAAGTGCCTGCTCAAATGTTTGGCTAATTCTCTCTATAAATATTTTAGATATTAGATTTATGTTGGGTACAAGTATTTGACTCCTCCCTTCATTCTTTTACTATTATCTTTTAAGTAAAAGAAGTTCTTATTTTTAATGTAGTCAAACTTTTTCCCCCTCCTTGGTTAGTGCTTTTTATATAGGTATACCTTAATAACTCTCTACCTTTTCCAAAGTCATGAAGATCTATGTTATGCTTCTGTATCACATTTAGAACTTTCTTAAAATACTCACCATCATCCAGTTCATCCTGCCTCAGAGCCAGCTACAGGACAGGGTAGAACTGACACTATGGGTTTTCAAGGCTCTAAGTCCCAGATGAAAAGGAGGAAGCCTCATCTTTCTCCCAGAGCTGCTGGTGGTTTAAAATGCTGAGCTTGAAGTTACCATGCTGAAGTGTAACTACTGGTGTGAGTCAAGAATTATTTGATTTTCACATGGTTATTCATTTAACACTGCACTATTTATTAAAAGAGGATCCTTAACATATTAAACTATTTCTAAGTTAGTCAACTACCACAAGGGAATAGTGAGACTTTCCCCTCCTGTAAAAAGTTATCATCTCAGAAACCCACAAGGACTGTTATGACTTGATGGCAGTGAGTTAATTGGCGAGTGGGAAGGAAATTGCAGAAGTGTAAGAAGAAATGCATATTAGAGTTGGTCTATATTTTATTTTTTCATTTGCAAATTATTGTTTACATTCAAGCTACTTTTTCCCCCCCTTGCTATTCTAATTAAGATCTCAGGTTCAGATGAAACCAGTGCTTGTAGGACTCAAATGTTGGCAAACTCTTAATTGGGCCACATAACAAATAGTTTAGTCTTTGTGTGCCATGCAGTTTCTTTTACAACGACTTACCTCAGCCTTTGTAATAAAAAGAATCCACTGATAGTATGCAAATGAGTTAACTTGGTTGTGTTCTAATAAGACTTAATTTATAGAAATAGACTGTAGGTTGAGTTTGAAACATGGACCCTAGTTTGCCAACCCCTTCCTAATTGATAAGTATCTCTGCTCATTGAAATAGCCGATATGGAGACTTACTAAGATGGGCATTCAAAATTGTAATGAAATATAAAAATTTTCACACATACCTCGTTCATGTGTCTGGATTGCAAAATAGGTGAAGTGAGTGTAAAAAGGCCCTGACACTAAGATAGAAGTGAATCAGTAGAGCTGAGTTCTAATAGAATTTTATCATAGTAGGTCATATGTGGTCCTTGGCTGTAATTTTCCAGTGCCTGCTCCAGGGAATAGCAGACCTATAGGAAACTGAGATTTGGGATAATCTAAAGAAGAGTAGCATTTCTCAAATACAGATTGATATATGAGAGTTTAATACACTTCCATATTTCTGTATGCTTCCTGTATTTCTTTAATACATCTCTTTATTACAGTAGCTAATTTTTTGTGATATATAAAAAACTTAGAAAAAGTAAGTAGTCATCTAATGGAGGAGTCAGCTAATT